TTCCTGCTGCTGCAGCATTCCAAATGAAACAGACGAAAACACATCCCGCCAGGATCCTCCCGTGACACTGTAACTCTGGACCGTGCAGTGTCCCCAGACCCACCAGTGATGAGCAGAAGTGCCAGGGCAGCCCCTGGTAAAGGGCTGAGCCTTCCCCTGTGTCAGGAAAGCAACATCTCTGGGAGAGCCTGTGCCCACTGAGCTTCCCGCCTCTTCCCAAACCTTCCTTCTCTATCCCATCCCTCGGTCGTGGACTAGGACTGCTCTGGAAGACAAGGCAACCCACTAACCCAAACAGCTGCCGTGAGAACTTCCCAATTTACCCTCTCAGCAGCACCAGGAACAGGACAACCTCCAGCAGCAGAACTCACCTGCTCTGTGTTTGGTGGAGCAGTCTGATAGAGTTCCTGGGACTTCCAAGATAGATTATTCTTGCATGATTGCCATGTCAGTTTTTAGGGCTGGCAGGTTTTAGATAATCACTCGAATCTTTTGAGTGTGGTTACGAACTCATATTGTAAATATTTCCTAGAGCTAGAGACACAAATATCTGAATGGCATTAATAATGAAACGGGAATATTGGGACAGGACTGCACGTCCTGCTGCGAGAAAATGAGCAGGAAAGTGCCCCAATCTCCTGTATTTCCCCTGGAAATGGGCAGCTGAAGGGACCAGCTGGGAATTGCTGGTTCTGGACTAGAGGGTTTTAGCTTAGAAGTTGAATCACTTCGTTAAAGCCTCGTGTGTCTCACAGGCTGAAGCTGTTCGGTGCGTTCACGACAGCTGATAGGACACTCCGTGTTTGAGGATCCACAGGTTGGGGGATGTACAGACACTGTGATTCTACAGCCTGGGAATTACCCCAGAAACCACCTGCAGAGCCCCATCCCTGCCCCAGCTCCCCATGCACTCCCCTCCCGAGTAGGAAAACACACTAACTACAGGGTTGGAGAGAAGTCTGAGGCAGAGCTGATCCTGCTCCACACCTACGGATTTTGGCCACACCTCACCATTATCATATGAAAAGAAAAAGAAGAAAACAAACCAAAACAAGCGAAAGGAAAGCGATCCGGTGTGTGGCTGATCCAAACAACAACAGTGTGCAGGCTCATAAATGCTTCAGAATTGACCAAGAGGAAGCACGTTTGGTGATGACACAATCTTGTTGCTGTAGTCATTCATCGAAGGGAAACTCCCACAGGAAAAGGCATAAAGCTGCTCAGGGAAGGCGAAGAGGCTGCACAGTGCTAGGCAGCCAAACCCAGGCTTCGATTCACAACAGAGCTAAGCATGAGTACCAGCCAAGGCCCTTTCCAGTTTTTTTCTGGGTCCCTCAGGGGTAGTTCAGGGTGTGGTTTGGCCCAGCCAGGAGCTCCTTACAGACCGTCAGGTGCAGCCGGTGGTGCCAGCAGCACACATCCCTTCTCCTCCGGCAGACCCCTCTGGCTGGCTGCTGCAGGAGGGGCTCCCTGGGGAGGCTTCGGCGAGCACCATGGGGAAAGCATCTTCCTGGGGGGGAATGAGAAACAGACCATGCAGAACCTGAATGAGCGCTTGGCTGCCTACCTGGACAAGGTCCGTGCCTTGGAAGCAGCCAACGCTCAGCTGGAGAGCTGCATCCTAGAGTGGCACAGGACAAAGTCTCATGGCAAGAGGCATGACTTCAACCAGTACGAGCAAAACGTCACTGACATGCAAAGACAGGTAAGTCAGAGCTGGGACTGTGTCATTCTGTGCTCTTCTAGGGACTCTGGGTGCTCCTCTGTGCTGCTGCTTTCCTTTAGAGATGTTAAATAAAGCCTGTGGATGTTAGAAATCCTCACGAAGGTGGTTCCAGGACTTGGGCACGAACGTTCTTTGTGGCCCCAAGGAGGAGAGAGGGTGCAGGAGAGGCTGATGGAGGCGAGGGGGACTCTGCAGACCGGTAGTAGAGAGATCTGCCTGCTGCCAAGTGCTCCTTTCTGTACTGAAACTGTGGTTTGAGTAACTGCGTCTGGCAGAGCTTGGTCTGTTTGACTGCACAGGTACTGGAGCAAATTACAAAGCAGGAGCAGAGCAGAGCCTTCCCCTCTCCTGCCGCTGTCTCCAGACAGGCTGGGGCATTCCAGCCCTTTGATTCCTGCGGTAGCAGACAATGAAACTACAGGAGTTTTGGGACCAATGAGCTTATGTAATCAGATGGAAAAATACTTCATTGTAATTAAGAAAATAGCAGTGACAAATTCCTTGTGGATGTTTTACTATAATTAAAAGGAGAATTTCTGGTTCCTGCCAGTCGTTAATATTAATGTTCAACAGTAACTCTTTCAATCTCCCAAACTCACGTGTCTTCACGTTTAAGCATAATATTAATCTGTATTCATAATGAACATCCTCAGCACTGCAACCATCTGTGTGACTAATCAGTGTAATTAACTTTACATACCCATGTGGGGCAAAACCCAAAGCTCTTCCAAGTGCAACGTTGTCGTTTTCCCGCCACTTTTCACAACGTGGTAACTTGGCATTCTCAAGACATTGAGAAGTTGTTTCCAAAGGGGCTTGGAAATGGTATTAATCTGCATCTTCGCTGGTTGGGGCCGGGGCCGAAGTCAAACTCTGTGCTCACTGTTAAAAGTGTTGCCTCCAGGCAGAAGATGAGGCAGTCCGACCACAGACTGCGCACAGAGAGCCAGAATTGTCATCACCATTTCTGCTTTAAGGATCAAGGAAGGTCACTGTCCCCAGAGCTGGCACTTGGGCTCTTCCATTTTCAACTGAATTAGAAACAAACCTTGTTCATCAAGAACATAAATGAGTTCAGGCTGATGTGGAGTTAATAAATCAGACAGGTTTAGGATGAGAACCTTTGACCAGGTTGAACCCAAACCCCTGAATTTTAACCCTTAGCCCTTAAGCAGGTGTCCCTGGCCACAGGCACCTGGAGCTCGGTGAGAAGGGGCAGGAAAGGATCATTTACAGGTGACAATTCAGTGATTTCACCCAGAATTTTTACTTTCTCTATAAATGATTGCAATTAGCACCATGTCTGCTAGTAAAATGAGGGAAAATATAGCGTCTAATTATAACCATAATTACATTAATTAAACATTCGTTTAAAAGGTGAAATTAATTTAGCACCTAAAATAAAACTTAGACCAAATTTAGGATCCTATATCCAATAACCCAGACAGTCTGGGATGTACTGTCTGTCTGCACTTGGAGGCATATAATCATTTGGGTCCTACAGTTTGGACCACACTTTTCCCTGGGTACCTGAATTTGGGATGAACATGTCAGGTGGAGCAACAATCCACCTTGCCCCAGCCTGACTCCATTCTAACCCAGATCCGTGGTGAAATAGCACCTGTTCTCCAGGTAACTGTCTCAGCCAAACACCTTGTGCTGCTGAATAAGAAAAGTGAGTGGCAGAGCGTTCCAGGATTTGGGACAAAGGACAGGAGGCATGTGAAGAAGGAGAAATCTCATCTCTTCCTAATATCCAACCTAACCCTCCCCTGGCACAGACTGAGTCAGCGCAGGAAGCCTTCTTGGAAAATCTCTGTTCTGAGAAGGAATTGGAGCATTTTTCCTATACAATAATATGTGAGTTCTCAGTGTTCTCTGTAAGTCTGCAGACTGGCACCAGTGCTGCAGCCACATTCCTGATGGATACAGTGAGGAATTCCACGGGATTACTAACAGACCTAACCCTCCCCTGGCACAGACTGAGTCAGCGCAGGAAGCCTTCTTGGAAAATCTCTGTTCTGAGAAGGAATTGGAGCATTTTTCCTATACAATAATATGTGAGTTCTCAGTGTTCTCTGTAAGTCTGCAGACTGGCACCAGTGCTGCAGCCACATTCCTGATGGATACAGTGAGGAATTCCACGGGATTACTAACAGACAACTGGCACATGGGACATCCCTGCTGGCACAGCACTGAGCAGGGCTCAGATGGCACAGAGAGATCACAGAGAGATAATACAGCAATTCTGCACACGTGTGTGGTTAGGAAATGGCACAAAGCTGGAGAACTCGTGTTGCTTCTCATTGCCTTGTTCCATCCCACAGTGAGATTTACTGTTCTCTAAGGATGGATTTGAGAATTGGCTCTTCTCTGGTGCCACGTTCAGGGTATGGTTACAGTTCCTCAGCTGGTTCAGGGTGTTGCTATAGTTCAGCTGCCCTTGATCTGTCTCAGGGCAGTATCCAAGGTGTGCTGCTAACTGCTCAGGAATGCACACTTTGTTAGCAGATTAGCTAAACATTCCACAGGCACTTCTTCTTTACTCTAAAAGGTAAACCTTTGACACTTCAGGAGAATTTTGTCATTTCCTCATTTCTTTGTGATTCACTGAAGTGTGAGAAGTTTCAGCTCCAGGTGCTGAGAGCCCAGCCCCAATGCCCCTGGTTTTTTGTGTGAGTGGAGGTGCCTGGTGGGATCATGACCACACTCCTCTTCCCTTTCTGCTAGGAAAGGACACGATGCCCCACAACCCTGAGTTTCTGCTGGAATCCTCTCAAAGATTTTGCATGGAATACTGAGCTTTTTGCATTCAGATCTATAGTTAAAAGCTTTTCTGTGTTATCAGGGACTCACAAGCCTTTCAGTGTGTGCTGAGCTCACCAAAGGGATGATGCAGTGCATCCTCCTGCACATTTCTGGGGCGATTTTCCATGCTGTTGCAGTCCCAGGTGAATACCTGAATGGCCCACAACTAGGTGCCAGTGGCACTGTCCGTGTGGCTCCAGGCTGAAGCCCATGGTGGGTGGAGGGTCCTGCCCTGAGTCGCTGCCACCGTCACCATTGAGCCTCTGTGCCACAGCAGCAACTCAGCAAGGTGTCAGTGCAGGTGCTGCTTCTTAACATGTCATTAATTCCAGCATTTTGATTGTACTCAGGCACAATTTAATGGTCCTCACTGAAATTTGCCCTAGAGATGCCCAAGGCAGCTTTGTCAACAGTGCTGAGCAGGATCAGACTCCGGTCACAAACCCAAAGGAAGGCAGTGACTGTTACTCTGGAATGCACTATGAAGTTTGTGTGATGTAATTCATAGCCTCTACCTGGCCAGGAATAAGATGAGAACTCCTGGTTCATACCCAGAAAAGTGAGATAAAGATGGAGAGAAATGGCAAAACATTTCAGTGGATCAGGGAACTGAGTTGCTTCTACTCCTGTGCTCTCCTTAACATGGGAATTCTGGTGTTTAGATGCTTCCTAGAAGCCACAGGAAGCTAATCTAGCACTGTCACCACGTGGCACACTGAGTGTCCTGTTGGATTCTCTGTTTTCCAGATTGAGGATGGCAAGATCACCAATGCCAGTATCCTTTTACAAATCGACAATGCCAACATGGCCTCGGAAGACTTCAGGCTCAAGTAAGCTTTTCTTTGGTCTCCTGATTAGCTCTGAAAGAGGATTAAGCAAAGTGTTGCTTTTTCTTCATGCTGTGAAAGTGATTTTACTGAGGTTTTCTGGTGATACCGGATAAATAAAAACAATGCATAACAGGGCAAAAACCCAGAAAGGATGAAAAGGATGTAAAACCCACAAATCATTGCTGAAGAGCCTTGAGTCACTCTGTTTATGATACTCAGCTCAGGTCCTGATGAGCAGGTTTGACAGCAGAGACTTGATACTTGTGACAAAAGGCACTTAAAACTGTCATCTAGGATTACAAATTATCCCCTCTCTGCACAGCACTTCCCAGTCCAGCCCAAATCTATTTCCTGAACTTAGCACCTCTCCTGTCCAGCTCTGAAGGGAACACCTGGAGCTTCTGCTCTGGAGTCCTGTACGTTCTGCCTCAGCCTCTGGGCTGGAGCCTCTCTGGCTCCCAGGACAGTCTCACTGTTCAGTACATTGAAAGAGTTCTCAGACCAGCTGAAAAGCCAAAATGTTTGGACAGAAAACTTCCAGGCAAACCTTTGCAAAGGGAAAGGAACTGACACTTCTGCAGTGAGACTTGTTAGGAATCAGGGAGATTCCTCTGATTTCCTACTGCTGCTGCTCAGATATAAAACCTCTCAGTTTTGGTGACACTGTGACAAACTCAGAGCCCCTGAGCACTGCTGCCCTTACCCAGCCTTGGCTCACCTTACCAGTCAGTAGTGTGACAAAAAGAACCTGTGGAACTGCTTTGAGGGATGGGAATCACAGGCTGAGTTTGATGGGGTGAATGTAGTAACACCAATCGAGCCCACAGGAGATGAAGGGAGAGCAGAAGTGCTTCCCATGCCCAAAGGAGGACAGAGCAGTGTGTCCCTGCCTTTGGCCACAGACAGCATACTGCACGAGGTTAGAGAGGAAGGTTAGTAACTGACTGCCATCACATTTTCCCTGTTCTTCTGAAGGAAAAGGAACAACTCCAGCAAGCATCAACTGCTGATACTGTTTTCAGAGAATCATATTCTCAAAGCTTTCACACCCTGGTGAATGTTAAAAGGCAATAAGGGAAGTGAAAGAAAGACCAATTTTATTTCCTGCCATATCGGAGTTGTGAGGGAGGGAGGAAAATGAAATTACAAAAATGGAAACTCTTCGCCTCGTTAAGACTATTTAAAAATACTCCAACCCATCACTTGGAGTTGGTTCCCTTGGCTGTCTGTTCTCTCCAGTTCCCTACTTTAGCAAGTGGCCTTGTCTTTGCTGTGCCATGCAGAGCCTGAAGAGGCAGTTCCCAACTCTGGTCTCCTCTCTCCTCACAGATACGAAGCAGAGAAGTGCCGCAGGCAGGGAGTGCAGTTGGATGTGGAGAACCTGCGCAAGGAGCTCGACGGCCTCACCATCATCACCACAGACCTGGAAATGGAAATCGAGGGCTTGAGAGAAGAGCACATCCTCAGGAGGAAAGACCACGAGGAGGTAGAATAAGTTCCTCTTGGTAAAATCCTATTGCACAAATCTTTGCTATCGTGTAATTACCTGAGTAAGGGCCACAATCTGTGAGGGGGATTGATGATTCAGGACCTAATCCTGTTTCTGAAGCAGCAACAAGAGTCAGGTGAGGCACAAAGTCAGTGTCTGAGCTACCAATTACAGCAGGGGTTGGGAGAGAACAGGCTGTGCAGTGTCTCCCACCCATCTGTCACACACAGCTAATAATAACTGGCACACTGCACAGAGATGTTCTCAGAGAGACTCAGACACAAAAACAGAGATCTGGGGGGGATACTGATGGGTGCTCTTGGGTTTTGCTCATCACAGACCTTCCCCTCAATCCTGGCTGTGTCATTTCCCAGACTCACAGAAGGGCTGAGGTTGGAAAGGACCTCTTGAGGTCACCTGGTCCACTCCCACTCAAGCAGGGTCACCTGGAACAGGCTGACCTGAGCTGAACACACCTGGAATTCTTGAAGGATCCACATGAAGAAAAGAATAGTTGGTGAAGTCAAGCAAAATTCCTAATTCTCGCACAAGAATTAGATAATAACTGTTGATAACCCTGATAACTGCTCAGAATCCTTCCAGAGCCATCCCCAGTGCTCCTGTCATCCCCACCCTTAGAACATCTGAAAGGTGCTTGTTCATTTTGCAGTTACCTGGCCCAGAACCAAAGGTCCTGCTCAGCTCTGTGGGCTGTGAAGCAGAGACCAGACACACAGGGATCACCCAGGGGGTGAAGATGCCTTTGGTGATCCCCTTACAGCCAAGGGAAGTTGTTGGAAGTAGGGAACCCGCAGAGCCATCCCTGTGTCCAGCTGATCTGCACACAGTGATGTCATACCTGAGACTTTGCCTGAGCACTTTGCAATGGTCCCTAGCACAGAAGGCTGTGCTAGAGCGAAAGGAATGTTACCCTACCCGTCCGACTGGTCCCGTAATTATGTTGTTTACACAGTAATTATATGCTTTAATCCAATTATTCCTTTAACAATTACATAGAACTTTTACATTACTCTCCTGTAAACTTATAGTTCCATAAATATTAATATAAGGGGGAAGAAAGATTAAATTACTGTTAGATTTTCATCGAAGGTTTTGGGTTCTTAATGGAGAAGCAGATAAAAAAATGTCATCATTTCTTCATGAAGTTAATTTCTTCCGGAAACCAATGAAAAGGTCTTCTCAACCTTTTATATTGAATTCTCCAGCACAGAAGCAAATATAAGTCACTGGTTTAAGTCACGTCAGAGTATTATTAATACAGAAATTTTACAATTAATGTTGATTAAATACAGAGATAACAATTACCCCAAACCACTGTGTGACTCTGTGATCCTATAGAAACTCTCCACTCTCACAAAGGAATTTGCTTGTTCCCTCTGCTAACACACCACAGGACATGGAAGCCAATCGCTCCTCACAGGACTTCAAAGTCAATGTCAAAGTGAACACAGCTCCTCCCGAGGACCTGGGCAAGATCCTGGCAGGAATCCGAGAGGATTACGAGGCCATCATTGAGAAGAATCGCCTGAGCCTGGACAACTGGTACAAAGAACAGGTATCGGCTGTGCCCTGCTCCTTGCCGAGATCCCTCGTGCTGTGCCTGCCTGACCAGAGTCCTTAAGCCTTTCCCTGCTCCCCAGAGCTCAGCCACGTCCCTGGCAGCAGCCCCGAACCCCGAGCAGATCCAGCGCAACGAGAGCGAGATCAAGGAGCTCACACGGACTCTGCAGTCCCTGGACATTGAGCTGCAGGCTCAGATGAGTAAGGTATCTGCTGCAGACATCTCGGGCTGCTCACCTGCTCCATGTCTTCTCAGGAGCTGCCATGGGCCAATTCTCCATGTAAATCCACAGCTTGGCATGACTGTATTGCAGTTGTGAAAGTCTGAGGGGAATTGGAATGTGGGCCATGCTCAGCTTTGGTAGAATATGCAAAAGAAATTCAGCAACCACCAGAAAGAAGGGAAAAATTTGTCTCTCCTTAGAACCCAATATGGGGAGGAGGAGAAGAGAAGGGATAGCTGACTCCATGGGCTAGACAGCAAACATGTCCAACAGACAGACAGCAATGCAAAGTTCATGTTTACACCCATATTTAATGCATGAAATACACGAACTGTGACCAGTGTTGGTGGGGAATTTTCACCAACATTCCTCAGCCCTCTCACAGGTTACACTCACATCCCTGTGACCTGGAGACCTGGGAGCTATTCTGGGCAGTCCATGCAGACCTGGCTGGGGATGCAGCAGTTGCAGGAGCAGAGCTTGGAGCAGAAAGGATGCAGCAGGGATAAACGACTCGGTTCTGCTTCTCACACACACGACACAGCTCCACAGCTCTGCTGCCTTCACAGGAATAGTTATGCAAATACACAAGTGCTTAAATTACCACAGCCTTAATTTTGCAATCTTCCAGCTAGAGCCCAAATTTGCTGGCATTTCTGTGCTCTATCTACCACATAAATAATAATCATGGCCTTGGCATTATCTGCTCCGTCAGAAACACATGCTGGAAGACACCTTGGCCGACACTCGGAATTACTATGCTGCTGCACTGCAGAACATGCAACAGATCATCTCCAAGTGTGAGGAGGACCTGACCCAGGTTCGGCACGACATGAAGCAGCAAAATAACCAATACAAGGTTCTTCTGGGGATCAAGACCCGCCTGGAGAAGGAGATTTCCACGTACCGCCTGCTGCTGGAAGGGAATGCTGACGGGTAAGGCAGAGCTGCCCCGACTGGAAGAAATGAGAGTCCTCATATTTGGGTTATTGACTTGCTTGTTTATGCTTAATCAAAGCCTGTGAGTTCCATGCTACATCAAGGGTTGGTATTTTAATGTGATGGGTCATAATGAAGAGCTGAAGCCACTTAGGATACAGAGGCACTTGTGCCCATGTAATTTGGATTACCTGAGTTAATAGAGGTTTTTATTAGAAGAGTAACCCTGCGGTCCCACAGTATGGACATCTCAGCACAGGAAAGCGCTGGGCTCAGCTCTGGAACCTCAGCTGGTTTGTGCAAACTCAGGAAAGGGAGATTACAGCCTGGAGAACCCAAACGCTGGGGCAGGCAGGACAGCACGGCCCCAAGTGTGGGTGTTTGTCAGCAAGTAAATTGGGATCAGTCTGAGCAACTCAGAATGCACGAGAACCAATGTCCTCAGGAGTGACAGTGAGTGTGCACAGGGACAGTTTCTACCCAAAGGAAAGCTCACGTGGTATAAAAGCACCATCCCTTTTCATTTTTCTCTCATAGTGGGATCAAATCTCCTTAGAATCAGGGAGAAGAAGGAGGTGAAACACTTCTTGACATTAGTGTAACCATTATTTTCTCTCTGTTTCATTCTCTTTCCAGGACAGCAAGAGATTCTGAAGCTAAAGGTAAGAGTCCCTTACTTTGCTCTCTGTGGTGACTCCTAATTATTGTAATTTCCAATCAAATTTCACTCAGAGTAATTCCAGGCTCACCTGAGTGAACTGTGAAGGTGTGCAGGGCAGGCAAGGCTCACTCAGCCCTTGCCTGAGAACCATCTCAGCAATTCAGGGCTGTGCCAACACCTGTGGCCAAAGCTCCACACTGGAGCTCTCCTGGGCTCTCAGGAGGCACAGAGGCTCCACTGGGTGACTAAAGCAGTGTTAGGGCTTGAGAGCAAACCAGAAATCTGCATGTCTGGGAATTCACACTGAGGCGTGAGCATGACCTGGAGACATGCAGGGTAATCTGCTGGATTTGCATGGGCTGTCGCTGTGTTGCTTCTTTGCCCTGACCTGGACCAGACCCAGGGTGACTTGCTGGCAGCACATTCCACGCAGAGCAGTAACAAATATTGACTTAAAGGGAAACAGGCAATGATAACTCAGCTGGGGAGGCAGCAGGTAGGTGACTGGACATGCAGCTTTCCCTGCATGGCCTTGTCTGAGCATTGCCTCTTGCCTAATTAATTACCCTTCCCTTCCCTTCAGACCACGCCGGGCTGAGCGGCCGGAAAATCAAAGCCATTGTCCACGACAGTGTGAACGGGCAGGTGGTGTCCTCCACCATCAACGAGATCCCCCCACAGGCCTGAAGGGAAGTCCTGCCAAGGCAGCAGCTCCCACAGCCCCTCGGGTGGGTGAGCTGAGAGCTGCTCCCTGCTGGAGACAGGGACTCGAGGGACCTCCCTCCCCCACGACCTGCAGCCCTGCGCTGCAGAGTGCCACGCAGAGCTGCTGTAGCTGATATGGGTAGTTTAAAGAGCTTTTAGTCACCAAAACGCCGAGGAGAAGCTGCTCAAGGAAGGCGACGGCTGAGCTGCTGACAGATGTCTTGTGCACATCTCCCCGGGGCAGGAATCTCCGTCTGGGATTCATTTCTTGCTCTGCAAATTAACTCCGATTTAAAGGGAATAATCTCTCGACTTTTTTCCTGGTCTTATGCCTCTCGTCATATACCTCACTGCAGCCAATAAATTTTTATCCATTACTTGTTCTGGTCCTTGGAGTTTCTGATTTGGCTTTTCCTCACACGTTCCCCAGTGACACTGAGATGGGTCAGGACGGCCAAAGCCTCTTTGTTTCAGGAGGTACAGAACTGGCAGGGCACAGAAAAGAGGTGACACAACTTACAGGTGACATTTACATGAGCAAAACTATTCCACTTCCCTATCTACAGCTTTTCAGTGTCACTGTTGATAAGAGCATTATTAGCAGGACTTGTTGCAATAAAATAGACACCGGGAAATGTTCCTTTATTCTTCAGCTTGAGACATATTTTCTTGCACTGTCTTTACACACTTCCCTTCAGAGACTCAGCAGCAAACCCTTAGAGCAAGAGTTCAGAGCTAGATCTCATTAGGAGTGTTTAGGGGAGGAAGAGGACTGTAAAGGAAGAGAGACCAAATGGAGCATAATGAGGGTGTTAGGGATTTGCATTCCAAAGTCAGTCTGCGTGCTCAGGGCAGGCATTGGAGCCACGTTGTCATTGTGCCCTTTCATCCACACTCACAGGGACTCAGGAGGGTTCCTGTTACCTGCCTCGCTTTGAATCAGCGCTCACAAAGGGAAGGGAACGTTTCAAAGAGAATGCAGATTAAACTGAACAAAGTCCATCCCTGTGATCCAGTGTTCTGCTCCTGGCGTGTTCAGGCCAGTTTCTGGCCCCCCTTCGCCCCCCAACTCTCCACCCTTGTTGCACAAAGAGATCCCAAAAGCACCGAATGGATTACCTAATGGTTTCTTTAAACTGGGTAAAACTTGTAATACAGGATTAGTAACTCTTGGCTAATTAACAGTGTCCTTCCTTATGGCTTACCAGATCCAACAAGCCAGACCTGGGGTTTGTAGCATCTGGACAAAATGTGCCTAGGTTTTCTCCAACAATTCTCTGTGTTATTTAAAGATCTCTTCAATTATCACACTCACAGAGCAGAACCACATTGCTGTGATGCAAACAATTACCAAAACTTCTAAGTAGCCCCTGATTTCTACATCAAAGCGTCTGCTTTGGGCTGGGTTTGGTTGTGCTGAACTACAGGGAAAGGAGAAGGAAAAGCGAATAATTGGAGTGCTTTGTGGAACACACCTGTCCTGATTTCACATTCCTGAGCGATGCACTGGCTCTGCTCTGCCCTGCTGTCCCCCCCGTGCAGAGGTTAGATGGTCTGAGCGGTGCTGGCTATGAGGCAGCAGAATTCCCATTCTCCTCTGCCAAGAGGCAGCAGAATTCCCATTCCACTCCACCACTCTGATGATTTTACCCTTCTCTACAATGACTGTGCTCTGTACTGGTCAGAGCAGTGCAGCTCACAGCACTGAGCTCCCAGCTCACTCCGTTAGCAACACCATCGCACACCAACACAGCCAAGTGTCTTTTACTGAGGGGAACAAACCGTTTAGTCCTTAGGCATACAGACATTACTTACACCACACTCTGTTTCCCAAATGAAAACAAGTATTCTATGGCAAAAATTACTTGTTTCTAGAGACTTCCCTGGCCCCAAAGCACTGCACCAGCACAGGATTCCTTTGTGCTGGACAGCTCGTGGCACTGTGTCTCCATCTCTCCATGCCCTGTAGCTGCTGGTTACTCATGACTTGTGCATTTGTGCTCTGAGAGATAAGCTATGCATTTCTAAATGTATTTAGGGTGGGTCCTGCACCCCAAATAATAAATAGTGATGCTAATATTTGCCACTCGCACGCACTGTTAACATCACATTCTCACACGGAGAGATGCAGTCAGGGAGATAATGAACGGGGGCAGAATTATCAGTCCCGTTTTATTGCTTGAGAAATTGGAAAAAGAGATGACACAACTTGCTCAAGGCTGCAGAAAGTCACTGATAGCCACTAAATTAGAATCCATCACTTCACAGCTTCTACTTAGCCCAGCTATTAGATAATATGACTTCCTGAAGAGCCATTCCCTGCTCACAGCAATCCTGACCGTGTCTGATCGCTCGGGAGAGATAATTCCATTGGTGCATTCCAAGTGCTCATGGCTGCTCAGGACTCAGCACATGCTCTGGTGGTGTTTTCTATGTACCTGTGCCAACAGCCCAGCTAAAATGAGCCGTGTACAGGACACTGTGCCTGGGGTCTTTGGTGGGTTGGGAGGATTTGGGAGACTTTGAGACACGGCACAGGAGCTGCTGCTTCTAATCTCGGAGCAGTGGCTCGAAGGGAAGGAAATCTTCAGGTGTGTGATGGTGATTGGCTTGAAAAATGACTTTATTAACTCTTTGTATTGAAGCTGCTTGAACTCTACCAGCTGGAATTTGTTCTCCTTCAGTATTTGATACACAGAAGTGCTGTTTCTACACCAAGGAAGAGACTGACCCAGGCTCAAAGAAAGTGCAGTTTCATAGAATCATAGAATCCTAAAATTTAGGGGTTGGAATGGACCTTACAAATCATCCAGTCCCAACCCCCTGTGCCAGTGTCTCACCACCCTCACAGGAAAAAACCTTTTCCTCACATCCAACCTAGACTTTCCATCCTTCAGTTTGAACCCATTACCCCTTGTCCTGTCCCTGCAGTTCCTAACACAGAGTCCCTCTCTGGCTCCTTGTAGGCCCTTCAGATACTGAAAAGTTGCTCTGATATCTGCACATAGTCTTCTCCAGTTTGAAGGATCATAAAAAAATTGCAGTCTTCAAGTGAATAGATTCTACTTCCCATAAATGGAAAAGGATAGCAAAGACATATCAGCAGGATGGAACAGCATTTCCCAGTCTAAGTGAATGATGCAACAACACTTGTGGAAACCAACAAGACACAGGAACTGAGCCTATAAAAGGAGGCTGAAACCCTCTGCGCTCACAGCCCTCTCCGAGCAGTTTCACCTGCCATTTAAGGCAGTCCTGCACAGAATAATCCTCAGCCTGATTTCCAACAGCCTTGACTGCTCTCCAGCCTGGGCATGAGTCACAGCTCATTTCACTTGTAGAAATGTTAAAACTTATTAAGGTGGATTACAATAGGCAGCTTTGGTAAGAGAAGTGTTGATCCCCTGGAAGAAGTGTGCGATGAGGTAATGCAGCCAGGGTTTGTGCTCTTAATCACACATTCCTCAGGGGAGCTGGCCCCACACCGCCAGGGCTTGGCCTTATTTATCAACAGTCACTCCTGCAGAATGCAAAGTTTTGCTCTCTGCCTTCCTTGTTAGCGCAGATGCAAAATGAGCAAAGTCATTCTAGAGGGAGAAGAAAGGAAATCTCTCCCTCAGAGCTCTGCTAAACCCACAGGTTCCACCGAGTATTGAGCAGAGAGAAGAGGTAGAAGAGCAGGTAAAGCATTTCACAATGTCCACACCCTGACCTATAAAGGTTTCTAAAGTTTTGCTGGGAGATGCCTGTTCCTGTGAATGAATCACTTAGAAAAGGAAGGATCTATAAACAGGGAAGCAAGGAAGGATCTTGCTGGAGAGGCTGCACCCCCCATCCCTCCGTGTCCTGCCTTAAACTGCAAAAGCATCTTAATTACTGACTCTACCTGGACGTTTGGCTTTGTGAAATCACAGCTCATGTTTTACTATGTGTTGCTTCCTCCTCCTTCCTCCCTCTGTAAAATCTCTGTTTCTTTTCAAGCTGTTTTTTTTATGATCTCTTTAATTGTGTGACTACACTGAAAGGACTTACTTGAGCCCCAGGCCTAGGGCTGCCATCAACCATGAAAATATCCCAGGAAACAGAAGCATCAATCCTGGACAGATCAGTGTCCCTATGGCAGGAGCTCCCAGTGTGAGACATGACCTAATGGTAAGGCAGGTGCAGGGCTGTTTCTCCTGGACAAGTTAATTTGCCTTTTGAATGGCTGAATATGCATCAGGAGCTTAAAGGCATAAAATCCTAACAGCTGCTGTGGTAAAGGCACTTTCAATAACTATCTAGACTTAGGGGCTAAACTTTTCAGCTTCCCAATGTCCTAAGGATAAGTCCAAAGAAGTTGATGTGATAAGCTGTTATTAGGCTCTACAGAAAGCAACAAAAATGAGGAATATAATTTGAGAAAAATGTATGTCAATTAAGGGGAATAATTAGTTGGAGCTGGCAGGGAAAAGGAGAAACAAACAGGCTGAAGGAGCTGCAAACTACAGAGCAGAAGTGAGTGCTGAACTCAGAGAAGCACAGCTGTGGCTCAGCTCAGCACCCTGAAATCCACAGGGGGAAATACAGCATTGAATGCACCAAACAAACACACTGGGAGTGACTCTTGCCAGAGCAACTTCAAAGCTGGAAATCTGTAACATTACAGCCAGCGTTCAGAAATTGGGATTGTAACTACCAGTATAGAAAAAAACCCACTTTTTCATGGCTTATTAGTGAGACAAATGATCAATTTTTAGAAGCAGTTTCATCTCCCAGGCTCTGTCCTAGTTAATCTCGCCAGCCACAGTCTCCGAGACATTCTGTGAATGGATCCACTGGAAATAACAGTGCTACTGTGTGGAACAAAACCCCTAAAAACACAACCAAAGCAACATTCTTTCTTTCCTTTAAAATAATCCTTCAAACGTTTGACCACAAGAGTGATGCAAAAACATTTCTCCTGGAAATAAGACCAGGAAAAGTGGGGGACATGGGAAATT